TCATCTATCTCATCTTCTTGTCAGTACTCATCTTTTTTTTTTTTTTTTTTTTTTTTGAGAGAACCTCTTGCTAGTCTATGTATAGTACGGGGGAACACCAACCAACCCGGATCTCTACCTAGTCCATGGGGCAGGTTGGCACCACAGCAGTGGTGCAACAGCAAGGCTGTACCAGTCCCTCATCACGGTGACGAGGGGTGGGCAGGCATTGCCGATGGGGGAAATCGGCCGTGCCAGCGCCGAGCAATGGCCAGTCACTGCACCTCCCCCGACCTTTCCCCAATCCCACATGGCAGTGTCTAATGGCCAATATTGTCGCCGCACAGCAACCAACAACATCAGCCAAGGTCCTGCCAATGCTGGCTTGGGGGGCCAACGGGTTATCTCTAGCCGGTTCAAGTCAGTTTTGTCCCAGACCGATACGAGGGCATACTCACACTGGGACCTATAATCCCAAATTCCCCAAAAGATAGGGTAGAGCGCCGGTCACACAGATTTGCCAAAATACCAAGTGTACTATTTACATGCCCATTTGTCAGGCGGCCTGGGAACCTCTGGAGGTGACCGCAAATGCCCTATTTAGTTTTTCGCATTTTCTTCGAAAATTGGTGAGAATTCGTTCACAAAAGTTCTTGCACAATTTGCGGATGGCCGCGAGTGACCAGCAAAGAACAAAATCCCCATTTCTCCAGAGTGCCGCCGCGACCTTGTCCCATCCCAAAAGGTACAGCAGTTCGACCCGAAGCATGCCAAAAACCTCAAATAGGCCCTTCCCAAATCCACATATTTTGAGGATTTACGGATTTGGGAGTCATCCACGCATGTCCAATCTACAGGGGCGCATTATATATTTTTTGTCTTTTGTTTTTTATGTGGTCACTACGGTAGTGGGTCAGTAGTGGGCCAAAAAAAAAAAAAAAAAAAAAAGAGGTAGTGGGCCGAGGCATGCAGGGGCACGGTTCCACTAGCAACCGAGTAAGGTATATTGTCGCACGGCGATGTGACGCGCAGGTGTGCTGTCTTTCGTTCGGAGTCTTAGCTGTGCGGAAAAGAGGCCCAGAAAAGCAGCAAGATGGGGTGTGCCAAGGATTCTTGGAAATTGAGTGTGGGGACACAGACGGAACTGAAATCCCCCGTGTTGGTCCGATGGAGCAAGTCGATCGTTTTCGCGCGTCGCAAAAATGCGTGCGCGGTAAAGCGGGAAGAGAGGGAACGATCCAAATTCAATCCAAAAAGTATTGTCGTGCCTCCCACCGGGCTACAGCCCGTCGTTTATAACAGAAAGGCTTGGGCACGCTTCGCGTGTCTCGCTTTCGTATCAAATCTCGTCGTCGTTCGCTGGTTAGTTCTGAGTCTGACGTGGAGGGTCTCAGCCGCGTGGCTCTTTCTTTATGCTCGTCTTCGCTCCGCACACGGTAGTGGAAACCCCTGGACTCGTAGCGCTCAAAACGCTGACATTCGGTGCACAGAGTGCGCGGCCAGTGGGGTTCTACCGTCGTCCACGGAATGACAATTAACTCGTTAAATGGCAACAATACCGAGTAAGGTGGGAAGTGCATATCGATAATAACAAACCCGGCTTCTACAAACCCAGAACAGCGGTTGGCCAGAGGGAAGTAATACTGCTCGCCGATTTGTGCAACGGCTTCTCGTACGTCCCACTCAAATACACGTGTCCTTTCCTCACTATAAGGAAAAGGTCGCGTTGGGATGGGAGATACGGGAGGYTGGCGCCCAACCGAAGGGTACTTGTCAGTCCACATGTCAATCAATCACAAAATATCATGAGACGTCATTAAGAACAAAAGYGRTTCGCGCGTCCTCCAATCAATCTTTTTGACACAAGAGAGAGAGAGCAAACAMAGATCAGCTTGATCACGCATATGGCTACGGGTCCGATCAGTTCAACACAACGTTGGTCCCTGGGCGCCTTGTTTCTCAGGGCCGCCTCGTGGCTCGGCTGCTGATGTCGTGCAGCATAACGCAGATGGCATGCGTAGTGCAAACACAGCTACAGATCTAAACACTCTTGCATTCTCGAACAAAATCCCGACGACAATCGTCTAATCAACAAAAGGGTCACATATTCCATACATGCATTCACTGTGGAAGGTGCGAAAATAAGACATGCACCGAAAAAGATGGGTCGCATTGCACAGTACACACGCATCCACCGTTCACAAGACAAGAAGGCGGGGTCCTTGCGTAGTAGGGTTACCCGGGAAACTAATGGAAGAGTTCCGGAAGAAGTTCTTTTACGCAAGGGAAGCGCACCGATTTGCTCCTACTCAGGAGAGAAAGCGAGAGACAATCAATCAAAAAGGACACGTCGAAGTTTCGCTTATCCCGGAGTTCCCAACTACCGAGCCCAATTCCTAGCGCGCTGGCTAAGGCGCGCGCAATTTCCCATATATTTCTTGACTTTGCAAAAGGAAAAACAGAACTCAGCAGTCGAAAAAGCTTTCAAAAAAAGGAAAATGCAGCACCTGAAAGTAAGAAATCAAAACGGGGTTTTTCGTGGGGTTGGTAGGATATAAGCAAAAGAAAGGGTACGAAAGATAGCACGGGTTCGTGAAGTGGTTCGTCACATATGTGACGCTCAGGGGGTTCCAAAATTATGCGATCTCCTGATTGCATGTCACGACGAAAAAGAAGAGGGGAGAACAGAGTGATGCATGAGGAACCAGACGTATCAACAGAGTAGAAGGAAGTACAAGGAACGATAACTTGAGCCTCGGATGAGACGGCGACAACATGCGTGGAAAGACCTCCGGAGCCTTGTCCTATGCAACCCTCTGCCTCGTGGAGATCGTCCAGGTGACGCCATCATGGTCCATCCGATCTCCGTGTGTTCTGCACCCGTTCTCGTTGTCGTTCGTCGAATCAGCGCATAGGTTGACGTCATCGTTGATAGCGTGATCTTCGCGAAGCTTACTGATTCGTACCGATGGAAGGAGGAGAGAAAGGGGGGGGGGGGGGGG